ACTGTGTCAGAAAACCTGCCCTAGATCGAAGACAGAAACAGGCTTCTTCATGTCCGTTGCAAGCCATAGGCCTTGCAACCCTCACGTTCGGGTGCACCGAAAGAGCGTGGCTGGGGCTGTGGAGCAGATGCCAGTCCGCTTACCCATCCAGCCATTAGCACAGGGTCCCTAGGACCTTCCCCCATACCTAGCTGCAAGTGGAACAGAGAGAAGTAGGAGGTACCACCCTCCAGGAGTGGTGACGGTCCCCACCCCGGGTGGGCTCCTTGTCACATGGTGAGAACACGACTAGAAACAAAGATGCAAAGGAGGCAGGAGGACGAGAAATCCCACAGAGAAGGCGCAAAGCCAAAGAGGGGCACAGAAGAAGCAACCTTGAGCACAGAGACTTCATCTACTAGTAACGAGCGCCCCCAAAGAGTAGGCTATCACCAATCCCGTTAGCTATTTGCTTCCTCCTCCTCCTCCTCCTCCCTCCTCCTCCAATTTGGCCTTCCCTCCCCATTCCTCTCTTCCTTCCTTTGAGAAAGGAGCATGAGGATGGGAGGAAAGGGACCAGAATATAACCTAAAAATGTTTCCTCCAATGAAGGGACCTTGGAGGAGTGGCTGATTCCAGCTTGGAAGCAGGACATATTCATGATGAGTCATGATACCTTGAGCCAGAAAGCAAAGAAGTTATCAAAACAAATGAGTCCTATCAAAAGGACACAGAGGTTAACATGAAAGACCGCCCCCCCTTGGCCAAAGATGAGAAAATTTGTGCACCCAAAAGAATAATGATGAAATTACTTGAAATCTGTATGTAAACCCACGTGTTCATAGTGATACTTTACGAAAGTCATCCCCCCCACAAAAAAATATCTTTGACGCCATTAGAAGTGTCTAGTGCACTAATGCCCTGTGCTAACAATGAAAGGAAAGAATTAGCATTCGCTCTGCTTTCTGGCAGATCAATGTGCACATCAAAGTAACCAAACAGCACTGTTTGAAGAAAAGAGAGTTCTTCTTTACGAAAAATTCTAGCTAACAAATGTGGAAGATACTATAGGATTAGAAAAAGACTATCACTCTGCAGCCCCTAATGAAATTATTCAGACAGTGGTCATCAATGGTCAAAAACATTTAGATGAGAGGTTGATGGGGAGCCTTACAATGAAGGCATTAAGCTGTCCTCCCCTGGACCCACCCAAAGTGGGACAACTAGACATTGAGTGATGTGATGTCGTAGGAAGCGCCGTGTAGCACCTGTGATCCATTCATACCCCTCCCCACAAAGCTGACCCTGACTCCAGGCAAGGACCCGGGGTAACTTCCATGTAGAGGGACACAAGGACTAGATGAACACAGTGGTGGACAAATACAGTTCCCACAATAAGGCAGCAGCATGGGGCCATGCTCTAGACAAGAAGACATGTAGAAACCTCACACTCACATGTCAACCTTGTTGGGATCCTGATCTGAAAAAAAACAACTCTAAAAACCACTTTGAGGCAATCAGGGACATTTGGTTATGGACTAGGTATTGGAGGATATCAGGGAATCAGGGTGAATTTGTGAATGAATTCCTGACTTTGAGGTTATGTAAAAAAAGTGATCTTTCTTTTTTAGAGATTCATCCTGAGGTATGTAGGAGTAAATTACTTAAGGACTGGCATTTGCCTTAAAATAATCCCCCAAAGAAGAAAGAAGGGGATGGAGCCTGTGGGGCAAGCTCTTGATGGTTGTTGGATCTGGGTGATGAGCATATGGGGATTCATTGTTTGTTCTAGCCTCTCTACCCTTGAATACGTTTGAATTTTTTTCATTAAAAAATAGCTGTCTCCTAACTAAACTTATTGTGGTAATGATTTTGCAATATATATATATATATGTCAAGTCATGATGCAGTCTACCTTAAGCTTATACAGAGCTGTATGTCAATTATATCTCAACAAAACTGGAAATTAAAAAAAAAAATTTAATTAGCTCTCTCCAATAACCACCCGCCCTACCTTAGGAAAGGGGCAGGACTCTTCCTGTCCTATGGCCTGAGGCCAAGTCATAGTTATAGAAGGACCTCAGAATTCTTCTCTGTAATGAGTGCTCATTAAGCAACCACCTGCTAGGTAAAGAGAAAGTGTGCCGTGGGAATACCTGAGCTCCGCAGTCACTACCACCTGGGTTTGAACCACTTCTCTGTGGACAAGTTTCTAACCCTCCATGAGCTTTCATATCCCTGTCTGTATGATCTGCTCCACAGACTTGATAGAGTCAGTAACATCCTGTTGCTTTTTAATCTACTCCCTCAAGACCCACAGGCTTTATCACCTATTGGCAAGAAGTCCAGTATTTCCTGCTGTCGGACCCTCCATCCCACCTCCCTCCCTGTCCAAGAACGGAGCTTCCTGAGCCCTTAGGCAGAGCCAGCCTGGCTGCGATGTCGGAGGTGGTCTCACCTCTGATGGCCACACGGTGGCGCCATTGGAGCTTCGTGTGTCCCCGGCCCCAGCCAACTCCAGCCACCACCCTGCAGGGGCACATTGCGAATCCCCAGCAGAGCCCTGGGGCGCGAGAGGGTGGAGCACAGCTTGAATTAAATCCCTCTTAGTTCTCGCTCACAGCCCATCTTGGCCAGTTCTGACTGACTTACAAACTCAGCCGCAAACCGTAAGAGACTATGAACTCTAGGAAACAAACTGAGGGTTGCTGGAGGGGAGGTGGGGGGTATGGGTTAACTGGGTGACGGGCATTAAGGAGGGCACGTGATGTAATGAGCACTGGGTGTTGTATGCAACTGATGAATCACTAAACTCCACCTCTGAAACTAATTTAAAAAAAAAAATCAGCTCTGTCAAATAAAAAAGACCCTAGTCATTTCATTATTCGACAAATACTAACCCTACTATGTGGCAGACACCGTTTTAGGGGTTCAGGATATCAGTGAACCAAACAAAGGTTCCTTCCCCACCTCAAGGAGCTTGAGAGCTGGGTGCATCTTCCATCTACTCTCTAAGGCCATCTGAGCCTAGGTCACCAATAAAGACTCCTCCTCACCTCCTGAGGAGTTTTGGTCTGGAACGAACTCTCTCACTCATGCAGTTTAACCTACTTCTCTCCCCGTGCATTATCAGGGTGCATGTGGGAGGGGGGGCTGGGTTTTACTAAGCGACACACGCACATGCAGACCCACCCGCACGCACACACATTCACATACACACAATGACGGAATGAGCCTGCAAAGAGTATCATCCCATTAAACATTAATTCCCTCGATGCTTTTCAGAGCATGTAATAGCCCCCTTGTATGCAGAAGACCAAACGGAGCAATTGCACCGTGCACAGGGATCCCCAGATATCTGCAGGGGCCAAGTCAATCAGTCTGGGCAAGGTCTGAGATTCGACATTTTAACATGTTCCTGAGAAATCGTGATGCTTCTGGTCAGGACCTCACTTTAACTGGCAAGGCACATTTTTTTTTCCTCTTAAAAAGCAAAGTTGCAACAAAATTCTGGCCCCTTTCCTTCTAGGGACTTGTAGGAAAGAGGCAGGTAGCAGTAGAATATTTATATATCTTAATTCATAGGATCTGAGGTGCCATGGATTATGAAACACACCTGATTTCAGAGATTTTAAAATATGAAAAAATAAAGCCTATCTTAGGACCTACGAAATAAGGCATTTTGAGTGGCAGTAGGTATATAATGGCCTGGAATCAGACAGGGCCCCACTATTCATTACCTTTGTGACCTTGGGCGAATGACTTAACCTCTATAAAATTGAATTTCCTCACCTTTCATATGGCAATAACCACGAGGGCTTCCTGGTGAATAGTATAGACTTGGCCAGCTTGATATTTTAACTCTCAGCCTAGGAAAATAAAAAACCACAAACACCAGTTTTTTGTAGTTCCTTCAATCCCCTCTTTCTCTGAAATAAAATAACTGGGTATAAAAAATAGACCTGTTTTATCTTTACCTTTTGCCCTCTGTAGCCCTGAAGTCTTTACTGTTTTACAAGAACATATTCATGTATTTGTGTGAAAATAAAATCTTTTAAAAACAATTAGTGTAAAACAATATATTAGCCCAGATCAGTGCTTAAAGAGTGCATCAGTTTATACAGAGGGCATCGGGCAAAACTTAGTGATTGTCAGTGACCGGCTTAAAACATTAAACGAGCGCCAAGTGCTGAGTATGCCACCTGGCCGGGGCCAGGACAGCAGGTGCTCGGTAAATGTTACACATAAATGTGTTTGCCTCTGGAAGGCAGCCTTTTCTCGCGCGCTCACTGCTGTTCCCCAGCACCCAGAACCATGCTCAGGACAGGGTTGGGACTCGGTACACAGTTGGTGAATGTATGCATGATTGGCTGAATGTCTGAACCTCAGACTAACTCTTGCAGGTGGTCAGATGGAGGCATGAGGTTCGGGGGAAGCTTTGTCTGGCAGGTGGCCGTAGGTACGGAGGGAACCAGTGAGGCCCGTAGCCGAGAAGGGTGAAGAAGGACTTGAGTTGCTAAACCAAAGCCTGGTTGCTATTCAAGCTGGACCCCAGAGCAAGGTGTTGGTTACAAGAACACTTCCAGGTCTTTTAGTTCCCTTTGCTGTCAGTACTAACATTCTGATCGGGATACCATAGCAAATAAAATGATGGACTCCAGGCTGGCAGTTGCTCAGAGGAAGATGATATGCTGAGCACTGTACCCAGTGCAGCATCAGGCACAGTGGGCAGGAAGGAAAGGCCTTTGGCTTCGTCCTGATACCCAGCAGGTGCAACAGGCTGCCTCCCTTCTCCAGCAGTTGGCCTTCTTCCTTTTCAGTTCTGGGCGGGACTTTACAAATTCCAAGGCTGTTCTCAGAGAAGGGGAAAAAGCTGCAGGAGCGTGGGGAGCTGCCTAACATATTACAAATCTATTATGTTACTGAGCAAATGAGTTTGAAAAGATTGTTGGACAAGAAGTTTCACACACAAAAGTCCGCAGCCAAGCTGAATGCGTCCTTCACATTCTCTCACTTTCCAGGTGACCTTGTACAAGAGCTCTGATATGGAGGACTTTGGGTTCAGTGTAGCAGATGGCTTGCTGGAGAAAGGAGTGTATGTTAAAAATATTCGCCCGGCTGGGCCAGGAGATCTCGGTGGCTTAAAGCCCTATGATAGACTCTTACAGGTAAGACCGCAGGTGACGTTTTGATTAATTTCACTTCTCAATGTCTTACTCGATCAATGCCTACCCATCTTTCTTTGCCTCAAGACGAGATTAGGGGACCCTCCTATATGGGAGAGAAACTTTTTCCTTGGGTAGAGTTTACCAGTTATTGAAATTGTCTGGTTCCCTGTATATATTCCCCAACAGATTATAAACGTCTTGAGAACGGTGCTGGCACCTTATGCTCCCATTTCCTCTTATACAGTACTTGATATCTCAATATCTCACACAATTCTCTGAAAGCGAAAAGCCAAACCTTGTTTAGCGAAGGGAATGCTATCGTGGTCAGGAATAGTTTCAGTGAGCCCAGCCAATTCCTGATTTTACATACAGTTTTTAGGAATAGCATTTTGTAGGAAAAAGAGAGGGTTGACATCAGTCTTGAGAGTGTGTTTAGCTGGAATGAGTCTGGCACCAAGGAGCTTTCAAAGCATGAGGCTGTACATGAGGTGACACGCCTTCACCAAGGCACATTATCATTGATCAATTAGGTAGTTTTAAAACAAATTCTGGTGATCATTTTTACTATGGCAGCAGAACAGTTGGTCTTATCTTGGCACTATGGGATGCTTTCATTTTTCGTAGAGACTCTAATATTTGCTGAATTAATAACTATGGTTACTTCACCTTTATATGGCTCTTCCTCATCTCTAAATTGGGGCTGTGCTGTCCCTGCTTCCGTAGATGTTGAGGCTATAAAAAGTAGACTGGATTTAGACTGGGAAGGCCTTGAATGCTATGAGAAAGCTCTTGGACTTTACTCTCAGGTATATCAGTTTCTTAAGCAGAATAATGACATCATTTGTAATTTAGAGAGACAATAGAATAATACTATAGGTGGATTGGAGTAAAATGGGGAAGGGGGAGACGCCAGGGAAGGAGACCAGATGTCTGTGTCAGACCTGAGTCCTTTTTCCTTCAGTGCCTCCTGGCAGAGCAGTCTGGGAGGCAAGGGGCAGTTTGGATCCATTGCTCAGACGTTAGAGCCAGATTTAGGAGATTTAGGACACTGAAAGGCATGCGTTTGGATAAAGTTACCTATGGTGGGCTTATAGTGAGAAAGAGAACCAAGGCTAGAATCCTGAGAAAAACAAACTTAAAGGACAGGAAGAGATAAAGGCAGGAAAGAACTGAAAGCGACTTAAAATGGTAAGAGGATTAAAACAACGTGGTGCCATAAAGAGCCAAGTAAGGAGAGTTTTCAGGATGATGAGTGGGTGTCAAAGAGTGCGGCCAGGGCTAAAGAGCAAAGTGGACGAGACCTGGAGACACCATTCCTGTATTGGACGTTTGGGATCAATTGTACAATGTGTCAGGTTCCAGATGTGAGAAGGTTGAGAATGAAAGGCAAAGAGTGGAAGCAGCTTGTAGAGGGGTTAAAAACCCTTGTTGATGAAGAATAAGGAGAAATGAACGGAGATGAGCCCATGTATAAGCTGAGGTGGATGGGCTCACTTCTGAGAGGTAGTTCAACACCATGGTCAAGAGCACAGCTTCGGAGTCAGCCAGACTGCCTGGGATCACTTCCTAGCTGGGCCACTTACCAACGGCAAATCTCTTCACCACTCTGTGCCTCACTTACCTCCTCTGGAAATTAGCAATGACGTTCAGTCGTTGGAGCACCTGCCATGAGCGAGGCAGTCTGCCCAGCCTGGGGATGTTGGGATGTGTCCCTGTTCCCTGCTCTCAAGGACTTTATGATTCAGTAGCAAAGAATAAGTCAGCCAATGGCCACCTCCTGGTCAGAGAAGAGATAGACCTCTCAGTGTAAGGATGCTCGTTTAGGCACCTTCAGGACACCTGTTACACCAGAAGTGTTAGTCTGGGTGTTGAGAATTAGAACAATAATTCAAAATGGCTCTTCTTGATTTTTCAGGTTAATCATGTCCGAACGAGAGACTTTGACTGCTGCCTTGTTGTGCCCCTCATAGCAGAATCTGGTAATAAGCTGGACTTGGTTATTAGTAGAAACCCACTGGCTTCGCAGAAGTCTATAGAACAGACTCTACCAGGAGGAGAATGGAGTGAACAGAACAGTGCTTTTTTCCAACAGCCTAGTCATGGTGGTAATTTGGAGATACGAGAACCCACTAATACATTATAGCAATGCTTTTTATAAAGCAGGACAAAAGACAATATCTACATGGTGCTAAAAAATCCCTTTAAGATTTCTGTGGCATTTAAAGCACGGATATCATGTGGCATTAACTGCAAGCACAGGGGTCTTTTAAATCTCTCTCATGGCTCATGTTCACTTCCCCTTTGAAGCTGAAGAGGTTTCTTTCTTGGTGACGGCTATGGTATATGGCAGGCCATTCCCTGCCGGGCCCAATGGTAGAGAAAAAGAAAAATATATAGGCCGCCCCTTCCCCCCAATTAACATCAGAGGAAATTTTTTACAAGTTCATCTTCCAGTCACTTTTTAAAAAGAGAGATGTCTGTTTGAAAATACTCTCTATGACAATTTCCTTAATGCACTTTGAAATCACAGTTTCTTACTATGAAGTCGTCAGCATTAAGAACTTGACCAAGGCTTGTCACAAAGCTGGCTCTCCTAGGGGAAATGGAGTTTGAGACGTGGCTGGGCCTGCTGCCATGGGAGGGGTCCAGGTGTAACATTAAGTTATCTTAAAAAAACGTTTCAGCAATGATGCACGTAGGAGACCATAATAGGTGGTGGTAAATGTTTTGCCCCGATATAGGAATGATTTTAACTAAGATGTATGCTATTCCCTATGCAACAAATTAACAAACAGGATATGTCTTGTGACCTGTTTTTTTTTTTTTTAAGGACACACTTTTAATAGCTGCAAATCTCTGATAATGAATTAGAGTGCTTAGTAACACTGAGAATGTTATTTTTTAAAATTCAAGACTGAGAATTTAAGAGAGAATGAAAAGTCTATCAAAATGAGGTTTATCTTAATGATAGGCAAATCAAACTCATCTTGCTTGCCATGTTTTGAAAACTGGTTATAGAGGGGTGTACGGCACATGTACCTTAAGATGACACTGGACTATCTTTTGTTCTGAGCCATGCTACTTTACTGAAATTGTAAATACATTTTTCACAAAATGCATTGCCAATTATTACCATCCCTCAAAGCAATAAACTGTGACAGTTGCTTCTAAGATGTTTGTCAGCAACTGTTCTCATTTGTTCAGATCTTTTGAATAGTTACGCTAATAACTGTTATTTGGTGAATATTTAAAAAAAATAGATCTGTATATTGACTGTAGAATCTCCATACTGAAATGATTATTTTCCAAACATTTTCATTTTGGTCAATGATTCCAACAACTGCTTAGGTAAAGCATTTGAACACTGTGTCCTTTGTTTAAGGAAAAAGCTCACCTTTCTTTTTGTGCAGAGAAATATATTATTTCAATCATATTTCACAACCCGCCAGGGCAAGAGAGTATAAAGCAGAATCATGTTAAAAGAAAAAAAAAGATCATGAGTCACTTAAATATGTATTTTTATTTGTAACAAACAAGTATTAAGCTGTAAAGTATTTTTGTACAAATTTAATACTTTAATAGCATGGTATTTATCGTCTATGTATGGTTTTGGGGAATTCAAAATTGTTGCAAATATTTGTATGGAAAAAAAAACCCTCTACCAAATGGAATAAATAGTGATTTTAAAAAGCCAAAAATTAGGATATGCAGTTTTTCTGGTACTTTGATTATATTTTAGTATTCTAGATGAGCCCTACACAATGCTTTTTGTTATAGAATTTTCTAGAGAGGAAAGGTTTTGCCATAAACTTGAAAAGCAGAATGGAAGAATGGAAAGAACATGGGTTTTAAAATCAGATCTGGTTTTGAATTCCAGCTCTGGTACTCACTGGTGGTATAAGAGTTAGTTACTGTGAGTCAGTTTCCCCACCTGTAGTACCGAAGGTCATATCTGCACTCTGGGGACTGCTGTAAGGACAAAATGTAAAAGGTATGTTTAAGTCCTAAAACAGTCTGTAGACAGAAATACTCCCAGACTAATTATACCTTTATTTTAGGTAACAAAGATAGATTTTAACTCAAGGATCATAATAATATCTGCCCTCAGAGAACATCATATGTATTCTATGAAATACATTTATATAAACTATTTAAAATGTGCAAATTTTAATGTGTGCTATCTTTAAAAAAAAAAAACAACTATGCTGTAGTGCCAACATTTTCATTTTTGCAGGCTATCTTGTAGGCCTTGTAAATTTACAGGAACAAGGCGAGGATGTCCATTCTCACCACTTCTATTTAACAATTTATTGAAGGTTCTAGCCAGAGCCTTAAGACAAGAAAATTAAATAAAAGGCATCCAGATTGTAAAGAAGTAAAACTATCTCTATTTGCAGATGATATAACCTCATATATAGAAAATCCCAAGGAATCCACTAAAAACCTATTAAAACTAATAAATGAGTTTAGCAAGATTGAAAGATACAAGATCAATTGTATTTCTATCCAGTAGCAATGAACAAACCAAAAATAAGAAAAAAAAATTCCATTGACATTAGGATCAAAAATAAAATACCCAGGAGTAAATTAAAAAAAGGCAAAACAGGGGCACCTGGGTGGCTCAGTAGGTTAAGCGTCTGCCTTCCGCTCAGGTCCTGATCTCAAGGTCCTGGGATTGAGTCCCGTACCCGCTCCCTGCTCAGTGGTGAGTCTGCCTCTCCCTCTCCCTCTGATCCTTCTCCCCGCCTGTGCTCTCTGTCTCAAATAAATAAATAAAATCTTTTAAAAAATTAAATAAAAATTAAAAATGCAAAACAAAGCACCGTTGAAAGAAATGAGAGAAGACATAAATAGAAAGACATCCCATGTTCACGGATCAGAAGACTTAATATTAAGATGGTAATACTCCCCAGATCTACAGATTCAATACAATTACCCCTCAAAATCCCAACTGGCTATTTTGCAGAAACAGACAAGCTGATCCTAAAATTCATATGAAAGTGCGAGGGACTCAGAATAGTCCAAAAATCTTGAAAGAGAAGGACAAATTGGAGGGCTCACTTTTCTTGATTTCAAAAAAAAAGCTGACAAAGGGCATGGTGCTGGCATAACAATAGATGTAAATATTAATGGAATAGAATCGGGAACTCAGAATCCAGAAATAAACCTTCACCATTTATGACCAATTGATTTTTTTTAAAGATTTTTTATTTATTTGACAGAGAGAGAGAGAGAGAGCGAGAGAGGGAACACAAGCAGGGGGGAGTGGAAGAGGGAGAAGCAGGCTTCCCACTGAGCAGGGAGCCCGATGCAGGGCTTGAACCCAGGACTCTGGGATCATGACCTGAGCTGAAGGCAGACGCTTAACGACTGAGCCACCCAGGCACCCCTGACCAATTGATTTTTGATAAGGGTGTCAAGACAAGTGAATGAGGAAAGAATAGTTTCTTCAAGAAATGGAGCTGGAACAACTGGATATCCACATGCAAAAGAATGAAGGTGGACCCTTACTTCACCATACACAAAGATTAACTCAAATGAATCAAAGTGCTAACTGTAAGACCTAAAACTATTTAAATTCTTAGAAGAACAGGAGTAAACCTTCATGACTTTGGATAGGCAGTAGTTCCTTAGATGTAACACCAAAGCCTAAGCAACAACAACAAAAATGAGATAAATTGGACATCATCAGAACTGAAAATTTGTGCGTAAAAGGACACCATCAAAAAAAGTGAAAATGAAATCCACAGAATGGGAATTTATTGTTTTTGCAAATAACATTTCTAATAAGGGACCTGTATGTAGAATATATAAGGAACTCTTATATCTCAAGAATAAAAATAAAAATAACCCAATTTAAAAATAGGTAAAAGATTTGAATAGACATTTCTCCAAAGAGGTCATACAAATGACCAATAAGCACATGAAAAGATAATTAACATCAGTAGCCATAAGGGAAATGCGAGTCAAAACCAGATTGACGGAGGGCTGCCTGGCTGGCTCAGTCAGTAGAACGTGATTCTTGATCTTGGGGCTGTGAGTTTGAGCCCCACATTGGGTACAGAGATTACTTTTAAAAAATAAAATCTTTAAAAAACAAACAACCATATGGAAATATCACTTCACACCTACTGAATGGCTATAATCAAAAAAGTCAGATAATAACAAGTGTTAGAGAAAACGTGGAGAAACTGGAACCCTCACATTCCAAGTATAACAGAAAATGGTGCAGCTGCTGTGGAAAACAATCTGGCAGTTCCTCAAAGGTTAAATAGAGAGAGTTACCAGATGACCAAACAATTCCACTCCTAGGTATATAATTGAAAGAAATTAAAATATATGTCCACAGAAAAACTTGTATACAGATGTTCACAGTAGCATTTTATAAGAGCCAAAAAGTGGAAACAACCCAAATGTCCTTCAGCTGATGAACAGAGAAATTCAAAGTGCTATATCCACATAATATAGTGTTATCTGGTAATGAAAGGAGATGAAGGTCTTTTGCCTACATTGCACTAATGAGAGCAAGAGAGGTCAGCAGCTGCTCTGCTGGAGCTACCTGCAAGAATTCAGCCAGGGTTCCTGATTTCTGCCCCATCAGCTCAAACCGACATGGTCTGATCCACAAATACAGCCTCCAGAAATGCTGCCAGTCTTCCCATCAGTCCACTAAGGATGTAGGCTTCGTCAGGTTAGACTGAGTGAGACTCCTTGTGTGGATTCTCCAAGACATCTACCCAATAAAAGGAACAATGCTAGCTCTTTGTACATTACATTTTTTAATCTTTAAAAAAGAGAGAGAGAGAGAGGTGAAGTACTGATACATACCACAAGAGAAAGTCTGAAATCATTCTGCTAAGTTAAAGAAGTCAGTCACAAACGATCACGTATCGTATGATTCCATTTATATGTGAAGTGTCTGGAACAGGCAAATCAATAGGGACAAAATAAATCAGTAGTTGCCCGGGGCTGGAGGGGGTGAGAGGATCAGAGCCAAGATGTACAGGGTTTCTTGGAGGCGGTGGTGATAAAAATGTTCAAAACCCACTGTGGTGGTACTAGCACAACTCTGTGAATATACCAAAAGCCACTGAGTTGTACACTTGAAATGGGTGAACTGTATGTAAGTTACAGCTCAGTGAGGCTATTTTTCAAATACGGGGATAACAGGTAAATTTTTTTCTTACCTTTTTCTTTTACCATTTAACAAGAAATAAAACTCTAAAAAATAAAATAAAATAAAAATCACTCTGAGAGAAAATAATTTTCCCAAGTGGAGTATCTTCAAAACAACGTATTCCTAAAAGCAATGACAATTATGTGACATGATGGAGGTGTTAGCTAATGCAATTAGCTCACCTAGTAATCACAGGGACTATATAAATGTATCAAATCAACACACAGTCCACCTTCAACTTCATGTTATATGTCAATTATATCTCCAATTAAGAAAAAAAAAATATACTCCCAGCTCAGAAGATAATTTCTAGGAAAACAGTTCCGGGTGAAGTGGGTCCGGCCAACAGTGATGGAGCGAGCAGCAATGTTGCAAGCTGAACAACTGGCAGAAGACCCAACATCCTGAAATGTGTGTCAATAATACAGGAGGTGTAACTGCGGTTTCTCTTGACCATGGCTTCAAACCATTGGCAAAGAGCACCCACAGTGATCATGGAGTCAATAAAGACATTATTGTAAAAATAAAACACTTTCTAAAGTACAGAGTTTAAAAAAAACAAAACAAAAAACAACAAATTTTGCCTGCATTTATGTCCAATGCTACCAGTCCTCATGATGACAGATGTTGAAATCATTATGGTTTTCTCCGATCAAATGAGTTTAAAATATATGCTAACATGAACACCTTAAAATAAAACTCCAGTCACAGACATCCTGTTTTATATCTTGAGAGTTTGAAGCTATGATGTTCATTTTGTGTTGAGTAGGAAAAAAGAGAGAGGTAATTACTTTGAGCAATCGGAAACAGAATTAAGTTTCTTGATTATTTGTGGGTATGAAAAGTTGCCTGGGGGTTAAACGATTTAGTCTCAAATTCTGAAGTCTGGAAGATACTTGTGGGGAGGCTTCTTCCACCTGTAAGGACAACAATAAAAATAAAGTTAGTTTTGTGAAAACATAGTCAGTTCACCCCATGTATTTCTACTCCCTCTGACTGCTTCTTTGGAAGACATAATACATGCCCCCTTCCCCGCCTTGGAAGAGTTGAGCAGACCCAAGCAATCAGCTGCCAGCCGTTTGTGGGATCCTGTCCACTTTTGCTCACTGTGGTATCCTCAGCACCCAGCTCTGGGACAGGCATGAAGAAGTGACCATTTGCCGAATGAGTACACATATATATAATTTCTAACAGTGTGGCCACTACATAATTTGGCAGCCCAGTTCAAGATTAAAATGTGGGCCCTTTGTTCAAAGGTAAGAATTTCAAGATGCCAAGTGCAGAACAATTAAAACAAGTATGGAGTGGTTGTAAGCACAAAGCCCCGTATGGCTGACTGTTCAGGGTGCACATCCATGATGCCAGCCTTAGGTGTGGTAAGATGTAACACTGCAAGGCTAGGATCCTTCGTACTATTGGTGATTCCCAAGCACAAGGCAACGGACCAGTACGGTCATGGGAAAGTTTCGCCACCACAGGGAAATGAGAAAAATAAGCACAATTCAATTAATCTTTCATAATGCTAAAATTGTT